TAAACTTATATAAATTAAGATCTGATATATGAGATCTATGTAGAATTTAACGTAGATTCAGAATATATCATTATAATTTGCATGGAACATATCGTTTTTGAAATATTTTTGAAATTAAAAATTATAATTACAATTTTTGTTATTTTAACGTTAGATATTGACAATTTTTTGAAAACTATACTTTATTAATGAATTAGTACTAAAATAGAGAAAAAATGTAAATTATAATAAATAATTATTTTTTAAGTTAAATTCAGTTTTTTGTAATAATGATGCGATCTTTATTGTTGTCGTGGGTGGTGGTCGGGGTTGTGGTGGGATTGTCGGTGGTGGTGTAATAACTTATTTTTAATAGGTTTTGGTAGTTTTACACAAATTAGAAAAAATATCTTAATTTTACTGATGTGATATTACTATATTCTGATTCTCCGTTAAATTCTACATTGATTTCATATATCATATGTTAATTTTGAATAGGTTTATATTTACCCAAAAAAGTGGCCACTATGGCCGAATTCGAGATCAGATTGTCATATGGTGTGTATTATTTACATTCTACATTGAAATATGTTTAGTCTAACAAAGAATATCGCATTGAATTAAGTTTTAACTAAAAATCGGCCAAGATACAATTTTGACAACTTTTTTCCGTAGGGTTAAATAAAAATTATTTTTTTAGCCAAATTAACATAGACTCTTCCCCATCTTCCTTTTTACTTTAAATACTTTTACTTTCAGACTTATAATTGACTCCCACTCTATGCAAATGCATTGATAGATATTTATGGAATTAATTAATTTACTAAAGTTGTAACTTTTGTCTACAGCAAAATTATAAACATGTTTGTCAGTTAAAGGTAACAGTTAATTATTAAATTCTATACATTTATAAAACAATTCCAGTATAGTTTTGTTAATGCTTTGCGTTGCTATAAATATTTTATTGAACAGACATTTAAAACATAATATACGGTAAGTTTCCATAATATGCTTGATTAAACAATTCAATAAAAATAATGTTAAAAGAGATGTTTTAATTAAAAAAGCAAAAAATCAAACAAACTTTTCAATCCAGACGTATTTCAACAAGTAAGGCATTATTCACAAAGTACGTGCGCATTTTTTAAAAAATCTAGACCCCCTCCCCCCTTATGTTTGCACTTGTTCGCATGTAGTTATTTAAAAGAAAAGTACGTACGCATGTCCCTATTAACCCCTCCCCCCCCGCGAAAATTATTTCTGATCAAAAGTAATATATTTATTCAAAGTTATCAATTTGAATAAAAGCTGTTATTCATAGGAACAGTTGTTACAAGTTGTTAGTGTAGATATAGTTGTTATCAAAAGATTAACGCTGATAAAAATTAATCTCTTAAATTCATTAAATGATTTAAATGCGAACGTTCATAAAGTCTCTATACCGCCCCTCCCCCTCGTTTGCAAAAGTTCGTTTTGGCCGACACCCCCTCCCCCAAGTGCGCACGTACTTTGTGAACAAAGCCTAATTAGTTTTTGTGAATTTAATGTCGAGAGAGATGTAATTAAAAAACAAAACAATTGCTAAATTGTTTGCATGTCTGAGTCTGTTTATACCATGATGCTTAACCTTGTTTACTTACGCTAAACTAATCCAATGACAGCTTATCACCAATACCTGTAGTTAACGTTAGACACTTCCCTTTTCAGTTGAATATATTCCTGGAATACATTTTTGGGAGAATGAATATTAAATATTTGTTTTTAAAATCTTTTTAACTTCCATAAAACAGGGGAAATAAGACAAAATGTGGTGAATCTACAAACAGTGAAACATTAAACACATATAACTTTTCAATGAATCTGTATTTTCCCCTATTTTGAGAGGGAATATATTGGGAAAATGAGAAATTTTCCAAAAGTGGCTAATATTATAATACCTGTAGTACAGGAAAGATTCAAATCAATTTCAATTAAAAGCTGCTAGATAATGTACCAAAAGCTATATTACAGTACATATTATACTGTGTTACACATTTATTAAATGCAACATTACGCAAAACTAAAATAGCCTTCTATAAAACATTTGCTCAAATATTTACATTTGATATAATTAATGTTCGTCATTTCCCATTTTTGAAAACTATCTTCCAGGAAAATAGTTTTGCGCCGGAAAATTCTTTATATTCCTTAAAATTGGGAAAATAAGACAAAAATGTGGTCAAATGATGACCAATCGAGATATATAAATACTTTTACCATATTTATTACATGTGCCTTAACATGCTTAAACATAATCGAGAAGAATATTAGGTAAAATCTATTTAATTAATTTAATTTGAATCATTTTGTAA